CATCTACACAAAAAATCAACAGCGAAAAAACAGAACTGAACCAAGTCTTAGAAGAAACAGACTTAGTAGATGTCTACAGAGTGTTTCACCCCACAAAATCAGAATATACATTCTTTTTGGCTGCACATAGGTCATTCCCCAAAATACACCACATGCTAGCTCATTAAACATGCTTAAGTAATGCAAAGGAATTTAAGTTATCCCTTGTACATTATCAGACCATATTGCAATTAAACTGGAGAGCAATAGCTGAAGAAACCCCAAGAACTTCACATAAACATGGAAGTTAAACTACATCCTTCTAAACAACAATTGGGTCACAGAGGAAATTAAAGAAGAAATTACACAGTTTCTAGAATTAAATGATAATGCCAACACAAAATACAGGAATATATGGGACACAATGAAAGCAGTTGCACAAGGGAAATTCATAGCAGTAAACACCCATACTAGCGCAACAGAGCAAGTTCAAATAAACAACCTAATGCTTAACCTTAAGTTCCTAGAAAAAGAAGAGCAAGACAAACTGAAAGCTTGTACAAGGGAGGAAATTATAAACATCAGACCAGAAATTAATGCAATGGAGACTAAGAGAATGATGCAAAAAAAATAGATGGAACTAAGAGTTGGTTTTCTAAATCAATAAACAATTAGCCAACCTTAACAAAAACGGAAAGAAAAGGCTCAAATTCATACAATTAGGAATGAAAAAGGTGAAGTCACAACAGACACACCAGAAATCCACAAGTTCATCAATACCTATTTTGAAAACCTATACTCTAATAAATGGAAAATACAGAAGAAATGGACAGATTCCTAGACACAAATGAACTTCCAAAGTTTAACCAATATGATATAAAGAGTCAAAACACCCTAATTACATTCAGTGAAATTGAAAATGTACTTAAAACATTACCGACAAAGAAAAACCCAGGCCCCTACGACTTCATTGCTGAATTCTACAAGAAATTTAGAGAAGAACTACTGCTACTGCTCTTTAAACTCTTTAACAAAATTAAAAGGGAAGCAACACTCCAAATTCAGTCCTGGAAGTAAGTGTTACTTTGATTCCCAAACCAGGGAAAGACCCAACCAAAAAAAGAGAACTACAGGCCAATCTCCCTAATGAATATAGTTGCAAAAATCCTCAGTAAGATACTGGCAAACAGAATACAGAAGATCATCAAGAAGATCATACACCCTGACCAAGTTGAGTTTATCCCAGGGATGCAAGGATGGTTCAACATATGTAAATCAATAAATGTAATTAACAGAATTAAGGACAAAACCCATAGAGCATCTCAATAGATGCAGAAAAAGCATTCATCAAAATGCAACACACATTCATGATAAAAACCCTACAGAAAACTGGATAGATAGTCTTTATGTCAACCTGATAAAGGCTATCTCAAAAACCAACAGCCAATATCATTCTAAATGGTCAAAAACTAAAAACCTTCATGCTCAAATCACAAACAAGACAAGGATGTCCACTATCACTTCTGTTCAATATATTTCTAGAAACATTAGCCACACAGGTAGACAAGAGAAAGAAGTAAAAGGAATAAAGATAGGAAAGGAAGACATTAAACTGTTACTATTTGCAGATGATATGATACTCGAAAAAGAAGATCCAAAAAATTCTCCCAAGAGACTGCTAGAGTTAATTGACTGATTCATTACAGAAGTGGGATACAAAGTCAACACTCAAAAATCAATAGCCTTTTTGTACACAAATAACAGACTCACTGAGATAGAAATTGAGAAACAATTCCTTTCATAATAACATCCAGAAATAATGAAATATCTAGGAGTCAATCTAACGAAGGCAACAAAAGACCTCTACACTGAAGACTATAGCACTCTGAAAAAAGAGATTGAAGAGGATATAAGAAGTTGGAAAAGGGCCAGGGATTTAGCTCAGTGATTCTGCCACCTGCCTCAAAAGCACAAGAACCTGAGTTCGATCCCCAGTACCAAAAAAAAAAAAAGAAAGAAAAAAGAAAAAAAGAAATGGGAAAAATAACCCTTGCTCCTGGGTAGGAGAAATCAACATAGTGAAAATGGCCATATTTCCAAAATTTCTATAGATTCAATGCAATCCCTATTGAAATCCCAACAGTATATTTCACAGAACTTGATAAAACAATCCAAAAATTCATTTGGAACCAGAAGAGACCTAGATTAGAAAAACCATACTAAGCAAAAGAGACATGGCAGGGGATATCACAATTCCCAACTTGAAACTACACTACAAAGCCACTGTGATCAAAACAGCATGGTACAGGCAAAGAAACAGACCTCAGGATCAATGGAACAGATTAGAAGATGGAAATATAATACCAGTCATACTCAGCTACCTCATCCTTGACAAAGGAGGTAACCATCTTCACTGGAGGAAAGACAGTCTCTTTAATAAATGGTGTTGGAAAAACTGGCTTTTAACTTGCCAAAGATTAAAAGTAGATCCCTATCTTTTACCATGTCCTAAACTAAAATCCAAGTGGATTAAAAATCTAAGTATCAAGGCCAGGTGTGGTAGTGCATGCCTATAATCCCAGCACTCGGGAGGCTGAGGCAGGAGGACTGCTGTGAGTTCAACACCAGCCTGGGTTACATAGTGAGTTCCAGGTCAGTCTCAACTACATAGTGAGACCCTGTCTCAAAAAAACCAAAAAAAAAAAAATCTAAGTATCACAACAGAAACACTAAACTTACTAGAAAGTAAATTAGGATGAACTCTTGAAAATATTGGTATAGGAGAAGTCTTTATGAACAAATCCTCAGCAGCACGAGAACTTGCACAAAGAATTAACAACTGGGATCTCATTGTATTAAAAAGTTTTTTCAGTGCAAGAGAAATGACTAACAGAGCTAAGTGTCAACCTATAATTTGGGAAAAAATATTTTACCAGCTACTCCTCAGACAAAGAACTACTATCTAGAATATATAATGAACTCTAAAAAATCAGACCACCCAAATACAAAGACCTGATTCAAAAAGAGGCATCTGACATCAACAGACATTTCTCAGACAAACAAGTAAAAGCAGCAAATAAATATATGAAAAAATGTTCAACGTCATTGGTCATTCAAGAGATGCAGATGAAAACAGCACTGAGATTCCACCTCATCCCCAAAAGAATGGATGCTATCAAGAAATCAACCGACAACAAATGTTGGTGGGGTTATGTGGAGAAAGGAAAATTTCTCTATTGTTGATGGGAGTGTAGACTGGTGCAACCACTGTGGAAATCAATATGGAGATACCTCAAAGAGATTGGACTGGAGGTTCCATTTGACCCAGCCATCCCTCTGCTGGGTATCTTTCCAAGAGAACTAAAAGAATCATATCACAGAGAAGTATGTGCACCCATGTTTATAGCAGCACAGTTTGTAATAGTTAAATCTTGGAAACAGCCCATTTGCCCATCCGTTGGAAACTGGATAAAGAAGATGTGGTTTTTCTATAAAATGGAATATTACTCAGCCATAAAGAACGAGTAATAGTTTCCCTGGTGTGAATATTCTGCAACAATGCATAAGATTCTAATAAGATTACTGACATTTAGAAATGGGAGGAAAGGAGCTAAAGGTGTAGGGAAGGTGTGATACGTAGGGGAAGAACAAAAAGGGAAAAGAAAAAAATGTGAGAGAATGAAAAGATGAAAATAAAGTGTTTGTAGATGGGGAGGGGAGGAGGGGGTGAAGGGAGGGCAGAGGTAAGAGGAAAAAAATGAGAATCAAGACTTGTCATGTAGAGGTACAAGATCCCAACAATGAATGTAACTATACTCTATCCCTAAAATGTACCAATAAACTCAATTAAAGCTGAAAAAAAAAAGAATTAAAAGAATCATGCCACAGTGATATCTGTGCTCCCATGTTTATAGTCTTCAGTTGACAGGCAATTGGGCTGTTTCCACTTGGATGCACACTGAGGTTATAGTCTTAAGTGAAATAAATAGGACACATAAGTAAACGCTGAATAGTTTCTCTGGTGTGAAAAACTAAAAGTGCAAATAAGGTTCAGATGGTATAATTGGGAGTGTGAAATAGGAAGAAATTCGTGAAAGGAAAAGTGAGAAGTGGAGGGGAAAGAAATAATGGAAAACAAATGTGAAAAAATGGAAAAACAGCCTTTGTAAATAGGGAAGCGTGCCAATGGGTTAAGGGAGGGCAGGGTATGGGGAAAAATCAAGAACCATGATTATATCATGTAAAGGTACAAGATCCCAATGATACATGTAACTATTGTGTGCTTTTAATGTACCAATAAACTTAATAATGGACAAAAAAAGGAAAGTATGCAAGGATATAACTAAGTAGTAATAGTTCAAAGCTTTTTTCAAACAGTTATAAGGGAATAAGGAAAAATCAAAAGGACAAGGGCTAGCCACAAATGGCTGTCACACAAGTCTTGTGCCTAGCTCTCTGCATATAAGCCTGTTATAACTATGGAATACTGAGTTCCACAATCTCAGGTGGTATTCTAAAAAATAATCATTCTAAGATCAATAATCTAAATTTCTTAAAAATACTTTTGCCTTAAGATATACTTAATAGTGCTTTTAATAAGTATGTAGATTTTAGGTAAAAACACTTCCTATAACTAATAAAATACAACCAGCTTAAAAAGCAATAAATTATTATTATAATGGGCCAGGAATTTAGCTCACTGGTGCTGTTGCCTGCCTTGCAAGCACAAGGTCCAGAGTTTGATCCCCAGTACCAAAAAAAAAATTACTATAATGTATGAATATAAAACATTTATATTGTTTTACTTCTGTACAGTTAAATAGAAGTTACATGCTATAACCATAGTAAATCCAGAATTTCAAACTTATCTTCATTATTAAAGAATCACCTTGACATAAATGTTTTAGTACCAATCCATGCTATAGTAAGTAGTGTACAGATCAGTAAAGAAAAAAATGAATGCAATTTTTCAGAGGTGTGAAAAAATAAAATAACATTTAAAATTTTCATTTCATTCTTACCGTATGTGATTCTAATTCAGCAATTTTCTCTGGGATTTCAGATCCCAAATAATAAATTCTAATCACATGGTCAGTGCTACCTGTTGTAATGAACATACCACCTAGAAGAGTAAAAAATAACATAGTATCAAAGAGCTTTAGAAATCTCCAATTGGTTTTTAGTTGCATGCAACCATGTACTAGTAAAAATGAGTCAAGAAACTCAAGGTTGTTTTCTAACTGTTAAAAATATACTAATATTCAAAGAAAAAGAAATAAAATTCAATGAAAACACGAGAAATTTGTAAGATAATGTTATCATTCACCTAGCAAAATCTATCAAATACACATTACATACAGGATTATGGATCATACACACTAAAGGTCATAGTCTTTAAGAATTAATTTCTTCCACAGACACTCAGAAATAGGTAAAGTAGTAAATTTTATGTATATTTTACAATGAAAGGAAAAAAGATACATTCTTATACAAAAAGTCTGTTTACACACTACAAAAGTATATTCTGTATGTAACCACACCATGTATTTTCTGTAAAATTAGGGCAAGATTATTTTTAAATTGGGGGTGTTATTCATTTTTGTTAATATATATTTGGAGTGGGAATTCAGTTTCTTTTTTATCAAATCCATTCTGGAATATATAAAATGTGACTAATGCAACAGAGTCAACCATTATTATATGTTAAGTAGAGTCCATAAAGTTTCATCTAAGATAGCATATGTGTCACATGTTTTATGTCCTTCCCCTATAGTCATGCATATACATCTTTCTTCATAAAATTGAAGCCTTTTATCATTTACAGATTTAAAACGTTTAATTTTTGTACATACCAGAACTAAAAGATGAACAAGATATTTGAACTCCAGGTCTGGATCTCTCAGTAAATTTCAATGGGCGATCTCTAAAGAGAAAAGAAAAATGTTTTCATTTTTTGTTCCTCTCATCTATTGGGTAAAATCTTTTGTGAGACAGGGATCTTATTATTGCCCAGGCTGGTCTTGAATTACTGGTGTCAAGTGATCCTTCTACCTCATGTTCCCAAGTAGCTAAGACTAAAGGTGTGTAGCACCACAATTGGCTTACTGGGCAAGAATTCTGACATAATACTGAATATAGCTGGATTTAGCATTAGTATAGAAAAACTAAAGGGAACTGACAATGAGTACTATGCCAACAAGTACTATTCCTATTATTCAGGTTAAGAATTCATTAAATGCAAATATATATCAGTATAGTTATAGTTTTACAATCATATTACCATGTTACCTACTGCTACCATTAAAAAAAGTTCCAAGAGTTCTTAACAAGAAATGAAACACCTCATACCAAAATTTTCCATATAAATTTATATCTTAAAAAAAAACGCATCAGCCGGGCGTGGTGGCTCACGCCTGTAATCCCAGCACTCGGGAGGCTGAGGCAGGAGGATCGCTGTGAGTTCGAGACCAGCCGGGGCTACATAGTGAGTTCCAGGTCAGTCTCAAATACATAGTGAGACCCTGTCTAAACAAACCAAAAAACAAACAAACAAACAAACAAACAAAAATGCATCAAAGGTTTATTCTAAAATATCTAATTATAAATTAAAATATGTATGAAGATGTATACACAAAAAAGTGTGTGTGTGAGTGTGTGTGTGTGTGTGTGTGTGCACATTTAAATTTGTGGACTATTAAGAATGAAGGTAACAAATAAAAATAAACATATTTGACTTTTCAAAAAATTCTAAAATTCTTTTAAACTTACCTAAACTTCATTGTTTTTACATGCCATTGCCAGAAACAGATTGTTCCATCAGCACCAGTAGAAGTGAGGTATCTTGTTGTGCCTTTAGTTGATGGACAAAACTTAAAAAAAAAATCGGATTCAAATATAAAGTTTTCATATTCAAACTTTCAAACAGCAGGTTTTCAAAATATACTCATTTTAATAAATATGCAATACATTTACTTAATAATTTCAGTTTCAAAGGATGTTATTTAAATTTCCTAGATTAATAAATGCCTTATGAAAATTTAAAATAGCAAAAGCTATAAAAAAGTAGTAATTGAATTTACGATAAAATATTTCAGTCCTTAAAAAATTAAGTACTTTAAAATAACTTCACATCATACTTTAAGAATGTTTTGATCACTTTTACTAAAGAATAAACTCACAAATTCATTACTAGTTAAATCATGGAAAGTGTGCTAATTATATGCTTCTACACAACCAGAATATTTTATAACTTATAAGAAAACAAAAGCATGGGCCAGGATTTAGCTCAATGGCACGGCACCTGCCTCACAAGCACAAGGTCCTGAGTGCATTCTCTGGTACAAAAAAAGAAAAGAAAATAGCATCAGAGGTAAATTTAAAACCAATGATTAGGTAAATAACATTTAAGTACCTGCGATATAATTTTTGTTCATTTTGGTACCAGGGATTAAATTTGGGACCAGCCCCAGGATTTAATATTTTAAACAACTGCTTCAATGAAGTATCATATTAATTTTGTCCTTTTAAACTATCTAGATATAATGAACACATAAAACAAACCTCTAAATAAAATAACAAATCAAAAAATGGGCAGCTGAGATAAATACACACTTCTCAGAAGAAGTACAAATGGCCTATAAATACATGAAAAAATGTTCAGCATCTCTGGCCATTAGAGAAATGCAAATTAAAACATTGAGATTCCATCTTACTGCAGAAAGAATGGCTATCATCAAGTAACAAATGCTGGTGAGAGTCTGGGGATAAAAGAACAGTTCTACATTGTCAGTGGAAATGTAAACTTGTACAGCCATTATGAAAATCAGTGTGTAGATATCTTAAAAATTGAAAAGAGAAATTTCATTCAATCTAGCTATTCCTCTTCTAGGTATCTTCCCAAGAGCTGAAGACATCGTATTACAGTGACAGATGCATACCCATGGTTATACAAGTAAAATTCATAATAGCTACATCTTGGAATAAGCCTATATGTCCATCAAGAGAGGAATGGATAAAGAAAGTGTGGAATACTACTCTGCCACAGAAAGAATAAAGATCAATAATTTGTAGGAAAACAGATGTACCTTGAGACCATAATGTTAAATAAAATAAACCACACAAGCTTCACATCGTTTCTCTTACATGAAAATCTCAAAATACAAAGAGCAAAATAAAAAGATTCCTCATGCCCAGAAATCAGGAAAAAGCTTAAAGTGAGAGCAGGGTTTCTGGTATATTGCTGAGATTTTATAATCTCAAATAGATATAATGAACATTTTCCATTGATATACTTAGGAATCAAGATACACAGAATTATAATATATTTTGAAATAAATCAAATGATCATTATAGATATTACAAGTCTTTTACTTGATTTTCGTATTTGTATAGAAAAGAGACAATGAAGGTCATTACATATTGGTTAAGTGAACAATTTTACAGGAAGAGTCAATAATTACAAATTATGCAACAAATACAAGCATACACAATTCATAAACCAAACACTAATGGACCTAAAAAATCAGATAAACACCCATACAAATGGTGTTCTTGATACCCCACTGACACTAGAATACAATACCAGTAAAATTAGGGGCAGGGGAATGAGCTCAGTTGGCACTACACCTGCCTCACAAGAGCAAGGTCCTGAGTTCAATCCCTGGTAAAAAAAAAAAAAAAAAAAAAAAAAAAAAACAACCGATAAATATCACAGTAGAACTAATACATCAAAAACGTGTACTCAATAGATGTCTACAAAATGTTCCATCAAATAAAAACATTGCCATTCTGCTTGGCAGTACATGGGATTTTTTCCAAAACAAATGACATACTACCCATAAAACATGCTTAAATAAATTCAAAAGAATCAAAGTTATGCATATTATCAGATCACAGTGCAATGAAACTAGAAATCAATGGCACCACAGAAGCTATAAAACATTTGTAAGTTAAATAACACATTACTGAATAATCAATGAGTCACAGGAATTTAAGGGATAAGACAGGTCCTAGAATTACAGATAATGCCAGTACAACACACTAGAACGTATGGGACTAATGAACACAGCTGTTTAAGAGAAATTTATGGCTGTGAATGACCATATCAGAAAAACACAACAAGCCGAAATAAATACCCTAGTGAAAGATCTCAATACTGTATCCAAGAAAAAAAGCACAATCCAAACCCAAAGCTAATACAAGGAAGTAAATAAGGTCAGAATAAAAATTAGTGAAATTGAGAACAAAAAACCCCATATAAACATACATACATAGAATCAATGAATCAGAGAGTCAGTTCTTTGAAAGATTAAAAAAAAATAGGAAAATTCTTAGCCAATCTTACCAAAATAAGTGGAAAAAAAGATTCAAATCCAAGCAACTAAAAACATAAAAGATGACATGACAATGGATTCTGCCAAAATCAAGATTATCAGGAGCTACTTTGAAAGCCTGTAGGGTAATAAAAAGGAAAATTCAGAAGAAATTCATAAATTCCTAGGTACATATGAACTACTAGAGCTGAACCAAGAAGAGAGACTTACAGCCATAGTCTACAAGAACTTCAGAAAAGATCTAATACCAATACTCCTCAAACTTTTTAATGAAATTGAAAGGGAAGCAGTACTCTCAAAGTCATTCCTGGGAGCAAGCTTTACCCTGATCAAAAATTAGAATAGCTGCCAGGAATTTAGCTCAGTGGCATAGCGCCTGCTGCAAGTGTGAGGTCCCAAATTCAATCCCTGGTACAAAAACAAAACAAACAAACAAACAAAAAAAAAACCAGATTGTTTTCATTATCAACTTGTTAATTAAACAAATATAATTTTTAAAATTAAAAAAGCATTCAATGAACAAAAAACAAAACTATAAAGCAAACTAATTAATATAGATGGAAAAATCCTCATTAAGGTATGGGCAAACAGAATGGCAAATGATGAAAAAGATCATATGTCATGACCAAGTAGGATTCATTTCAGAGATGCAGGGGTGGTTCAACATATGCAAATCAATGTGATACATCACATAAACTGAAGCAAATACTATAAAAAACACATTCATGATCATATATATAGATGCAGAAAAGGCACACAAGATTCGTGACAAAAACCCACAACAAAATAGGAATAGAAGTTCTTTACCTCAGTCTGATAAAAGCCATCTATGACAAAACAATGGTCAACATCATTCTAAAAGGAGAAATGCTGAACACTTTCCCTCTAAAAAAAAGGAACAAGTCAAGGATAACCACTGCCACCACTTTCTATATAGTTCTTGAAACATTAGCAAGAACAATTCAAAAAAGAAAGAAAACAAATATGCATAGGAAAGAAACAAATTCAATTATTATTATTTGCAGAAGACATGATCCTATACATAAAAGACAGCAAAAATTCTACCAAAACACTCCCACAACTAATAACAAAATTTAGTAGCATAGCAGGATACAAAGTAAATAATCAAAACTCATTAACCTACTTGTAACAACAAACAACAAATCCTCCAAGAGAGAAATAACTTGTCCAAATTACATAAAAAAATATGAAATGCTTAGGAATTAACCTAACCAAGGAAGTCAAAGATCTCTACAATGAAACCTATAGTATTCTGAAAAAGATCAAACAGAATATCAGAAAATAGAAAGGTATCCCTTACTCCTACTTAGGCAGAACCCATAACCCAAAATGGCCATACCTCTAAAAGAATTATACAGATCCCTTGGGGCATTACTGTGGGTTACCCAATTGGGTTACCCTTGGGTTAACTATTCCACACTTTTCTAATTATAAACTTTAGCATAAAAGTAGTGACTGTGAGTCTCAGTAGCTTTGCCTGAGGGACACAGGAAGCAATCTATGTGGTCACCCATTTGGTACAATGAAGTGGGCAAAAGTGTCAAATTGAGATTTTTAACCACATAATGCTCCATTCTTTTATGTATGTATCCCTGAGCATCACAGGAGGATAAAATATACCCATCCCATTTTTTGTTCTGCAAAAATCTAATTTGCCATAATGGAATCTGGGTATGGCTCCCAGTAGCTGTGCCTGGGGAAAACAGGAACACATCTGTGCATTCACCCACTTAGTGGAGGAAAAACAAGGTGTATAAAAGAGCTGCAAAGCAGCAACAGGTGAGTTTTACTCATGAAATGCTCAATCTTGAATTTCTTGAATTTAGGTTTTGATTTTTAAAGAGTTTTCAGTGGGGCCACCACCTGCCTCGCAAGCCCAAGGTCCCAAGTTTGATCCTTGGTACCAAAAGAAAATTATTCTGGAACCCAGTCTCCAGGTCCTTTTTCCTATGGTAATGAATCAAATGCTTTTGTGAGCAAACTTGTTGCTCCCATCTTCCAAACTAATCAGAATGTAACATTCAACAATTGGTTTCATAGTTTCCAATCAATGTTATGTCTGCTAACAGAGAAAAACTGACCAGCCTAGGAACTGTATGCAGGAACACAGCAGAAATTCCAAATGAAATGTTGCAATTTCAAAACAGAGAATTATATTGTACAATCTTTAGACTTCAGAAAAACATAACATTGGCCTCATATAAGGCCAAGAAAAACAAAGTGCTACTGCTGGTGTTGACATTCCACCATGATGGAAATAATGATATAGGAAACCCCAAAAAAATGGAAGCCTGAGGTGGTAATTGTCTAGAACAAAACCAAAGGTGTAATAGATGTTGTTGATGAGTTATGCAGCCACTATGATGTCACTTGAAACATAAAGTGTTAGCCAGTGGTTGTGTTTTACTTAATCCTAAACCAACAGTTTAATAGTTTACAAGGAAAATAACAAGCACAAAGTACCATAGAGACATTTTCTTAGATGACTGGGACTGGAACTCATAAGAGATCATTTACAACAGAGAAAGAACAAAACATTTCTGTCTGGTCAACTACACAAAAAAATTGTGGAGCACATTAGTGAGCTCACAGGGTAAGAGGCAGGCAGAGCACCACAAAGAACTACTACAACAGGTGCAGAGGATCGTAATATTGATTATGCCCAATGCAGGCTGTAAAGAGTTAACCCCAGGGCCAGGGATTTATCTCAGTGGTTCCGCTGCCTGCCTTGCAAGCAGAAGTTCCTGAGTTCAATCCCCAGTACAAAAAAAAAAAAGAGTTAACCCCACAACTGGCTTGTTCTGAAAAGTGAGTCTAGCCAAAGCCTATGTGCCAAGGTCAGAGTAACTCACACTCAAATCCATTCTCACAACTTAAAACCTTCTTACTAGAAGGACAATGTTCTAATTAAAAGCATGTATTTTGTCTATTCTGTTCCTAATTCAAGAATGCTTTGTCTTGTCCTTTATGAGCCTTGTTTACATTCATTTCCATAGAAACTGCACGTAGCTTGCCTTTACCCCAACTGATGCCAATAAAGCACAGTGCCTGGGACTGGCCATCACCTTTGTCAATTGCAATTGCATTGGTTATCCTGGCACCTGGCTTTCTCTCTCCTAGTTCTGTCTCGGTGTATTATGCACATGGAACACATGCAGTTGTCATGTGTGAAGACTGCCTTAAGTGTGACAATTGAAGCAAAGACTATTTTTGTTGTAGAGGTCTATTCGGATTTTTATTATAGTTCATGTAGGAATTTATTTCTGATGTTATCTTTTAGGTCTGTAAGCAAGTAACAGCTGATGTGAAAATATTGGTGTTTATTCTAAATGCGCAATACATACCAGGAACTTTATACTTTATTTTATTGATATCTTATGTTCTTGTTAATTACATGTTTGTTTATTTTTTTGAATCAGGGTCTCACTATGTAGTTCAAGCTGGCCTCGAATGCACAGCAACCCTCCTGCGCTCAGACTCCCAAGTACTGGGATTATACGCATGTGCTACCATGCTCGGCTTTACATGTTGTATAACATAAGAACCTCCTGACAAAACAGCAAGACTGGAGAGATATCAAGTATGTCCTACAAAACAGACAGGAAAGCAAAACTTGTGCTGTCAATGTAAGCAATACATGTATGTGGAATGTGCTGTTGTGATCTGTGAAGACTGCCTTAGGTATGATAACTGAAGTAAATATTTTTGCTGTAGAATTCTATTGGTATTTTCATTGTAGTTCACAAAAGAATTTATTTCAGTGGTTATTTTTTAGATTTTGTTAACCAAAAGAAGTCAATGTTAAAAATTTTGATGCTTTTTTAAAAACGCTCAACAAATATTAAAAATTCAAAGCCAGGCATAGTGGTGCACGCCTGTAATCCCAGCACTCAGAGGCTGAGGCAGGAGGATCGCTGTGAGTTCGAGACCAACCTGGGCTATATAGTGAGTTCCAGGTCAGTCTCAACTACACAGTGAGACCCTGTGTCAAAAAAACAAACAAACAAAAAAATCAATACTATTTTGATATTTTTTCTGTTAAGTAATCATTGTTTAATATAATCAAACTCATAAAATTAAAATTAATAATTCATTGGCCAGGGATTTAGCTTAGCGGTTCAGTGGCCTGCCTTGCAAGCGCAAGGACCTGAGTTCAATCCCCAGTACCAAAAAAAAATAATAATAATTCATCACTAGAAATACTTCTAAAGAATTGACATAGGTTTTGTACACCTTTCAGTGTACTCCTTTGCCACAAAATTGCCATGATGCCCCAAGGGTAGATGACAATTCCAATTAAAATACCAATGGCATTCCACACCAAAGTAGAAAAGGCAGTCCTAAAATTCATAAAGAACCAGAAGAGACCTAGAATAGCAAAAGCGATTCTGGGCAGGAAGGGCAAGGCAGACTGCATCACAATCCTGGACTTCAAGTTACACTACAAAGCCACAGCAATAAAAACAGCATGATACTGGCAAAAAAAAAAAAAAGCCCAAATTGTGGATCAACTGAACAGAACAGAGGAAGCAGAAACAACTCCAGTGACAGAGGGGACAAATCCTTTCTCTGGTGGAAAGATACCCTCTAACATTTGGTGCTGGGAAAACTGGCTGTGCAAATGCTTAAGATTGATACTATATCTGTATCTTTCACCATGCACTAGCCTAAATTCAAAATGGACCAAATATCTAAATATTAGGGCAGAAATAATCTGCTAGAATATAGGTAAAATATCTGTTGACATAGGTGTGGGGAAAGACTTTTGGAAGAGAACCATGGTCAAACAAGATATAATGTTAATCAACAAACTGGATCACAATAAATTTTAAAGAAAACTGCTCAGCAAAGGAACCTACCAATATAGTAAAGAAACAGCATACAAAAAAATTGCCAGCTACTCCTCACACAAAGGACTAATGTAAGAATAAAGAACTCAAAATAATTAGATCTCCCAAATTTAAAAATGGGCATTAGGGCCGAGGATTTGGCTCAGCGGTTTTGCCATCCGCCTAAAAAGCGCAAGGTCCCAAGTTCAGTCCGTGGTATCCTGCCCCCCGCAATACAGGGCATCTAAAATGAACAACTACTTCTCAGATAAATAAGTACAAACAGCCAATAAATGCATGAAAAAAAATTTAACATTGCTGAGCATCCAAAAACTGCAAATTAGGGGCCAGGGATTTAGCTCAGTGGTTCTGACATTTGCCTCGAAAATGCAAGGTCTCAAGTTTGATCCCCCGTACCAAAAATAAAAATGCAAATTAAAACATTACTGTAGGGGCTGGAGTGTAGTGCAGTGGCACAGCACTTGCCTTGCATATGTAAGGTTATAGGTTCAATCCCCAGTACAAAAACAAAAACAAACAAAAAACCCAAAATAACAGTGAGATTCCATCTCACTTCAGAAAGAAAAGGTATCATCAAGAAATCAACCAAAAACAAATTCTGGAGAAGCTGTGAGGAAAAAGGAACACTTTCTCATTGTGGGCGGTAGTGTAAACTGGTACATCCACTATGAAAATTAGTATACAGATTCCTTACAAAACTAAAAATAGAAATTCCATTTGACAAAGCTATTACCCTTCTTGGTATCATCCCAAAAGATGTGTGTGGTGTGGGTGTGTGGGTGTGTGTGTATGTGTTTGTGTGTGTAGTTTTTGAGACAGGGTCTCTTTGTGTAGCTGAAGCTGGCCTTGAACTCACTGTGTAGCCCAGGCTTGTCTCAAACTCATGGCAATTCTCCTGCCTCAGCCTCCAGAATGCTGGGATTATAGGTGTGCACCACCTGGCTCATTCCAAAAGATTTAAAGACATCATACTGTGGTGATATGTGCATATCCATGTTTATGGCAGCAAAGTTCATAAGAGCTAAATATTGGAAATAGCCTACATATCCATCAATAAATTAATGGATAAAGAAAATGTGGTATTAGTACACAACTACTCTGCCATAAAATTAGACATACAAGCTTACATATCACATGGTTTCTCCAACATGACAAACTCAGTATATAAATAAAGTGCAAAATAAAAGATATAATATGCCAAAGGAAAGAAAAGTTATTGTGATTCAGTTTGGACAATGTATCTGAAATTATACCTTGATTTAGTATGATTATCTCATGTGTTTTACATATTTTTCCCCTATTAGACTGGTTGTTAACCTGTATATGTAATAATTAACTTCATAAGGATTTATAAGGTAAAAAGAATCTGATGCTGGCAAAAAAAAAAGGCAGGGGCTAGAGAGGACAGGAAAAAAAACAATTGAGATGTGTTTTATATATATCTACTAAATCCCTACAATAAATATAATCACTATGTATGGCAAATATGTAATAATAAATACTTTTAAAAAAGAAAATGGAACTTAAAAAATAGATGTTTACAGGATAGGGGCAAAGTTTTCAGTGCATTTTTCTGTTGCTATTCTATGTGTTTTTATGCATAAATGTAACAAATAATAAGAGAATAATCACCTTTGTTGGATATATTAGAATATATCATGATTTCTCTTACCTGTATGGAAGTAATAGAAGCTGAATGTCCCTGAAGGACAGCAACTGGTGCACAGGTTCGAAGACACCATACTCTGACAACTTTATCACAGCTGCCTGCAGCAATGAGTGTATTTTCATAGTTAACAGCCATGTCAGATATTTCAGCAGAGTGCCCTCGAAGTGTAGCAAGTAGGCGTCCATCATCTGTGGCCCAAATTTTCACCAAACAGTCATCTGACCCCTAAAGTAACACAAAAGGATGGAGGATTTACAATGATACAGAAACTTGCCATTCACCACCCTCAAAAAAAAGGGGGGGCTAAAAGAATTTGAGTACTTCATAGCCTGTGCTTTTTAATATCCTTTCCACATAAAATATGGATCCAGCAGCAAATATAAATTATGTGGTGATAAGACTGAGTAAGCATTGTATAAACAGTGGGATTTGTGAAAAGCTCCTCAAAACTACTTCTAATCCTGAAAACTCAAAATATTTTAAATATACTTTTAAGTGATCCAGCATTAAGCATTTCTGCCATTATTTCCTTAGGGTATGAAAGCTACTCTTCTTAAATTCTGGAATATATTTCTTTGAAAAGTACTCTCAAATTTAGGAAATGCGAGCCCATTAATAATATCTGGTAAAGGGCCGGGAATTTAGATCAGTGGTGCCACGCCTGCCTTGCAAGTGCAAGGTCCTGAGTTTGATCCCCAGTACAGTGTCGGGGGTGGGGTGTCTGGGGAAAGCATTATCTTGATATGGCTATTGAGAATTTCAAATGAATTTAAAAATAATTATAAAACAATTGTACTCTGATGTGGCAGATAGAAATTCTTTCAAATGACATTCAACACCCTCATCATAATCATTAACATTCAGATAAGCATGCAATTAGAAACATGAAATCAATGAGACAAGTCTGTAAGGCAGCCTAAGGAGTCAGAACTTCTAAAAGCACAAATTTCTTTTGTTATACCATATAAATAGAAAAAGTAAATCACACTATTACCCCATCTCTGTTAACTTAGTTATGAAGCAACAAGATTAATATTTCTTAGAAACATTAGTGTGCTACAATTTTGTTAACAAAAGCAACAGTAAAATACAGTTAATAAAACTAAAATTTTAAAAATAATCAGTACTAAATAAAGACATGCAAAATACAAGTATGATATTCATTACTGTGCAATTCAACTGTTTAAGCAAAATTTCCAGCAGTTACACTAGGTGACACATGGAAAGTGCATTTATACAAATTCATTTTAATCATTGTTAAAATGCGATGAAATGAAATTGACTATACTTGTTTCACATAAATTAAGCATGTCTGGAATATAAAGACTTTCAAAAGTTTATTTTTTAATTAAATTTCCCAAAAGACATGGACACGATACTTCACTCTTCATCTGTTAGGTTTTCAATTTCTACTCATCTTTTCACACATTCCTATATCCAAAAAACAATAAACTGCCTACATAGTATAATGCAGTGTCATAAAGTCTAACTTCAATTGCCATAAATCTGTAATATTACGATATCATAACTCTTAAACTCACTGTAAAAATTCTTCTCCCACTTCGGTCAAATGCTACACAGTAGACAGAAGACAAGTGCCCCAGAATTCTCTTATGCATCTTAATATGCTGGTAAGCAGATGAAGGGAAAATATGGCTGAAGCGACTACATCCGGTTAATTGCCTGGCAGAAGTGATATTCACTGGAAAATAAATAAAATAAAATTGATTTTTTAAACTCTAAAAGTAAAGCCTACTTTATGGAATTAAGTCATAAAAATATTAAGATAAGACAAAATAGGGTACACATAACAAAGCAATCTTGCAGTATAAATCCAAATTCCCTTACACATTTCATGATTTTTATGAACTCAAATTGATGTAAAAACACTACAAACACTCTTCTGCTAAATCTCATCTGTTTGCCTGTGGAAAGGAACATTCCCATTTTGTCTTTTAAGTAACACTGTAGTCAAAGACACTGTCATTTTAAATACATAGATAAATTTTTTCACAGCATGAAGGAATTTTAGAATAAAATTATATTTTATTAAATACATATAGCTTAATTATATAGAGAATTTTATGAACTCCTTTCCCACCTCTTCACTATATGACTGCTGCTAAGCTTCAATAGCAATTATCAGAGATCTAAAAAATTAAAAGGGAAGAAAAGCTACGACACCATATAGCTTTTAAACAGCAACAGTCACTTCTAGGATTGTCTATCGGTTGCACCTTTTTGGTTTCTGAATCTAGAGTTTCTTCCTCTAGTTACCAATGAATATTTGAGACTTCATCTTCTAAGATCATTTTAAATCCTCTCTTATTTTTCTGATTTTCTTTCACTTTTTTCTCAGTAAAATTTCATCAATGTTTTATCTTTTTAAAAAACGGCCTTTTAGATTGCTTGGTATTCTCTATCATTTTTCTAGTCTCCAATTTGTTTAATTCTGCTCTGATTTTTGTTATTTTCTTCCTTCTTCTAACTCTGAGGTTTTATATTCTCCTTTATCTAGTTTCTTGAGGCATAACATTAGGTTACTTGAGATGTTTCTTTTTGTTCATGGAGGGCTTTATGTTATATATTTCCCTTTTGCTTTTGCAGCATCCTGTAAGTTCTGCTTTCATGTTTGTAGGTCTGAAAACATTTTCAATTTTAATTTCTTCTTTGACCCACTGGTAATTCATAAGCACGTTTAATTCCCACATATCTGCAAGTTTTCCAAGATTCCCCAGTTAAATATGGAATAGTCCTTATCCAAAATGTTCCACAGATGTTTATAATGCAAGATTTTTGGGGGCAAGGTAACCAAATCAGAACTAAAAATACATTTTTGTTTCATATATATCTTGTATGAGTTAGCCTGAATATAATTATATATAGCATTTTTAATGTACCTACATTTTGCCTCTGACCTCTCACATGTCAGATTTGAAATTTTCGACTTCTACCATCATGTTGGCCCCTAAAAAGTTTCCAATGTTGGTATATTTTTGGATTTAGAATTTTTAGGTAAGGGATGCTCAACCTGTATGGATTTATAGTTTCATTCCTTGACGGTAAAAAAAAATATATTTCAATCTTAAATTTCTCATGACACATACTGAGGCCTAACAAATATGTGGGAAAATGTTGTACAAGCACTTGCAAAAAATGTCTATTATACTTATGCTGGATAATGGTCTATATTTCTTAGGTTTAAAAATCTAAAATTTGGTATAAGTCTACTGCTTCATTATTTAGTGCCTGGAAGGCTTGAGCAATGCTGAAAATGTAGTATTAAAGTCTCTATTACTATATTACAATTTATCTCTCCCTTCAGATCTATTGTTTGCTTTATATATTTAGATACTCCAATGCTAAGTGCATACATATTTACACTTCTAGCACTTCCTTAGTGTATTATTATCTTTATTATTAACATATAGTAACCTTATTTTCTTTTACAGTTTTTCATATAAACTCTATGTGGAGTATGATTAAAAATATATAGAATATTTAAATTTTAAAAATATATTACAGTGGGCCAGGGATTTAGCTCAGCAGTTTGGTGGCCTGCCTTTCAAGCGCAAGCACCTGAGTTCAATCCCTGGTACCAAGAAAAAAAAAACAGTAAAAGAAATATTGGAATTAATCCCCCTAAAACAGCAATGTTATCCCATCAGTTTTGCCACTTTCTTAAGTAGTTGTGAAAGAGCTAAATCCCCAGCCATCAACTGGCTATTTTTATGTCACATACAGGCTTCCTTGGTGTCTCAAATTCATTCAAAGTCAAAGCATTTCATAGTCATTTTGATTTGGAGGAAGAGCCAGAAGTTGCAGGGCAGCAGATTTGGTGAATAAGATGGGTGAGGACACATCACAATGTTTTTGATTTGATAGAAACTGTGGTACCAGAAGCAATGTGTGACATGGAGGGAGTATCGTCATGATGGAAGATCAAACTATTTCCCTATTTATCAGGCCATTTTCTATACACATTGTTTCTTAAATTCACTAATAAGCCCTTATAATAAATAGACTTCAAGCTGGGCATGGTGGCGCACACCTATAATCACAGCACTCGGGAGGCTGAGGCAGGAGGATTGCTGTGAGTTTGATACCAGCCTGAGCTACAAAGTGAGTTCCAGGTCAGTCTCAACTACATAGTGAGACCCTGTCAAAAAAAATAAAATAAATAAATAAATAGACTTCAAAGAGGAAAATTGTACTAGGATGAACAGCAATAATTCTGCCTCTCCAAGATTTGGAAACCAGACACTGCAAAATAAAAAACTCATTGAAGAAAAGAGAGAGAGAAATACATCTCAGAGAGTTTGGGATGAACTGACAGGAAAATTAAAAACTACAGAGAAACTGAAAGAAACAATCTGGACTTTCTCCCTGGCTCCCAACTCATGGCTCTTAGGAAAGACAGATTGAATCTGCAGGAACTAAGTAAACACTTGGGACTCCACAGGGCCCCAGGAAAACTCAGTGGCAGTGGAATGGACTGGCAGTGATCAGATCTGCATGAACAGGAGAGTTCTACTCCCATGGAGTTGTTCAACGTGCAACAGCTGGTGAGCGATTCCTGTGCAAATGAGCACCATATTCCTGAAGAGAGTGTGGGGGGTTGTACACCATTCCAGGAAAGGAATGTTTGAACCTAGGAAACAGAAGAGCCACAAGACACCTTCATTTCAGGGTGCCAAGTGTTACCCTCGCACAGTGACAGGGTGAAAGACAGACATAGGAATCAGCAGAGGAGAGGGAACAGAAAAGAGATATGCTGAAGGCTATCAGCTCATCCAAGGACACAGAGCTGCCCCTATGCCAGAAGCCAAGACCTGGCTTAAGTTTCTCTGGTTTTGAAGGTCTCAATACTGGATACTCAAGACCTTAACCTATTCTATTGCTGGCATCCAACATGGATCAGGGGTCTGACAGCATTCTCCAGCCACTGGCATGAGAAGGGACACATTTTAAGTCGGATACTGCCACAGCCAATGAAAAGTATATTGGCCTCTGAGAAGCTGAGAATTGCTAGAATCCAAAACTGCAGATCCTAGAAGGAAACCACTCATCCAAAATTAGAGAGAAAAATTTTCTTTTCCTTACTGATTTTTCTACCTTTTTCCTTTTAATTTTATCCCTTTAATTTGGTCTTAGTTTTATTCTCCAAATATTTTCTTTCATCTCTTTTTTAATCTTCTATGTTTCAACAGCATTTTTGCCACACAACTAATTCTATAAACGTCTTCCTACTTTCTAATAAGAATCTTTCTCCCACTTCTCTAACCTTCATGTCATATCCTATAGTTTAAAATTTCAATTTTTTCTTCTCACATTCCTGTTGAGAAGCCACTACATTTTAATAGTGTAAACATTAAGCTTTATCAATCATTAGTTAACTCTATAAAATTACTGAATTATTTTCTGCCATTATAAGAAATAGAGCTATGATACTTAGTACAGTGGTACTCCATTCAGGAATGCTTTTGTTTGTAAACAATTTGGTTCTCAAGCAGAAGTGTTTGGCAATGTTTTTGTCTGCCTACTCTTTTTTGCATAAACAAATATGTCTGTTTTTTTCCAGAATTGTGGAACAAATTATGTTTGTGAACCATACCACTGTACACATTACCTGCATGTCAATACCTCAATTTTCTTAGTGTTTATGTAATAACTGTGGATTTCTTCTCTGTGGTTAAGAGTAGTACATAATGTTAACCACTTACCAGTCCAATTACTTAAATGCAGGATGAACAAAAATTGCACATTTTTTTAATATTTATAACATAACAGAAAATATTAAAAAAGACAATTTTGTTAAATTTACTTAATATAAGAATTAACTGATTTAAATGACACCTGGATGAGGGACACTTGGGATAGTAAGTAAACAAATGTATTGCTGGGCCAGGGATTTAGCTCAGTGTTTCCACTGCCTTGCAAGTGCAGGGACCAGAGTCTGATCCCTAGTACCAAAAAAAAAAAAAGTATTGCTAGAGTGTCATATCTAAGTGTTCTTTGATGAACCACTGTAGCTTGATACTGCCAAGTTTGCGTAATTGTTGCTACACCTTAGTAAAGCAATACACCACATAAATAAAAGCAAGGACAAAAATCACATGATCCAATATCGCAGTAGATGAAGAAAAAGCAACATCCATTCATTACATAAAAAATAGGTAAAGGCTTTATCTCAATCTGATAAAAGTATCTATGACATACATCATATTAAAATGAGAGAAGATGAAAGCTTTCCCTCTAAAATCGGGAACAAGAGGATGTTCACTATCACCACACCTGTTCAATATAGTTCTTGAAACATTAGCAGAAGCAATCAAGCAAGAGAAAGAATTAAAGGGATATCTATAAGAAAGGAAGAAGTGGCTGGGCATGGTGCCTTACGCCTGTAATCCCAGCACTCGAGAGGCTGAGGCAGGAGGATCGCTGTGAGTTCGAGACCAGCCTGGGCTACATAGTGAGTTCCAGGTCAGTCTCAACTACATAGTGAGACCCAGTCTCAAAAACCAAAAAAAAAAAAAAGAAATGAAGATGTTATCATTTTCATATGGTATTATCCTTCACATAGAAAATGCCAAAAACTCCCCTAGAATTAATAATCAAATTCAGTAGCATAGCAGAATACAAAGTCAGGAAACAAAAGTCAGTAGTGTTCTTGTATACAAATAATAAAGTCACCAAGAAAGA